AGTGAGTGAGTGAGTGAGTGAGTGAGTGAGTGAGTGAGTGAGTGAGTGAGTGAGTGAGTGAGTGAGTGAGTGAGTGAGTGAGTGAGTGAGTGAGTGAGTGAGTGAGTGAGTGAGTGAGTGAGTGAGTGAGTGAGTGAGTGAGTGAGTGAGTGAGTGAGTGAGTGAGTGAGTGAGTGAGTGAGTGAGTGAGTGAGTGAGTGAGTGAGTGAGTGAGTGAGTCAACAGAATGTCATGCTTTGAAGGGCTAATTCTTGAAGTATTCCATTTGATTTTTTAAAATTATATCATGTATTTGCAAACAGTTTAAGGTATGTTAGAAAATACATAGCTATCAAATCAGCCTTCACTAAAATCAGCTTTTGTCTAATTTTGCTACTTCTAGAGAATGCAAGTCACTGTGGACTGAATGTAAACAGAAATGGATGATGGAATAGTTTTTAGAGAATTAAAACCTTAATGTAGACACACGAAATAGAACCAAACCGCAATTGATAGGACTTTGTTCTTGTGAAATTTAATTACATTTAGCGTGGTTACAAGTCAATAGTAATTTATTGCTTACATAGTCTTGCAGTCTTCCTTATGCATATATTAAGGTTGGACAAAATTTTTCAAGAGTAAACTTCAAGTAAAAATCTTGAACTGTTTAGTGAGCACAAAGAAATGTATACCTTTATTCTTATGCGAAAAATCCTTTTGCAGAGCTAAAATTTGTGCCAATTTTTTAAGGAATCATATAAATATTCATTTTCCTTGTTTAATTTTAGATACATTGTTAATTAACACACATCCTAATTATCATTAGCAATAACCTCCCATCAATATAACACAGATTGCTGGAGGAAGCCTGGCTCTACCCTTTGGACTTGGTGTGGACGATTATCTGTTTGACTGGGTAAAGGGACACAAGCCACACCTGATGTCTGTGAGCAGTGCTTGCGACATCAGTGTTGATCCAGTCAGTGAAGTGCAGGTCATTAGAGGTGTTCAGTCATCAAGGCTAGTAAGGTGGGTTTTCTTATTTTACTATGTTTATTTTTAACCCTTACCACCAGGTACAGTTATTAAGATGACCTCCTAAGTGGCAGCACCATACTCATAAGAAATAAAATGTTTGTGAATGAAAGTTTTTCTACATGTGTGATTGATGGAAGGTTGTATGGTAATGGATTAAAAATAATCCATTTCCTAATGAAATAGGAATGTATCTGCTGCCCTTCCACTTTTAACCCCATCGGCCCAGATGATAAGAATACATCCCTTGCCCACTGTATTATAAGTTCATCTATTGTCTTTAACATGGATGGCTCTACAAGTGCTTAGTCACCAAGGAGTCAGTTATTAGTCCTACCTATCTCACCTGTTTACCCTTTTCTTTGAGTTTTGGAAATCTTCATTTGTATTATTTAATTGTCTTTAATGTTATTGGCAACTTTATAACAATTTAATACTCATAATATCAGTAAGAATAATAACAGTATCAATATTAATAGTATTAGAAACTCACATTTTCCCACAAATTCAAAGAATGGTGAAGCCAAGCACACTCACTAGGGCATATTCCTTGGTGGCTGAGAACATGTGGAGCCATCTGTATATACCAAAATTTACAAAAAAAAATACAGAGGATAATACTTAAATCTGTAATCATTGGGTTGAAGAACATTTGAAGTAGAACAGTTGCTATGATTTTGATAATTACTTTTAAGCATGTGCCTTTTGTGCTAACCAACCTTAAAACTTAATTACCATTTATATAAATTAAGCATTCATTCAAAAACAGTTTGTTTATTACTAATAATATTACTACTGTGTTAACACGTATTGGGTTAGTTTACAAGAGGGTGTAATTTAACATGTATATGTATTGTTCACTGTTGTTTTGTGAATTTTGTATACACATAGATGGCTTCATGTGCATAGTCACCAAGGAGTCAGTTAGTAGGATTAACTGACCTTCCCTGATTTCTCCATTCCTTGAATTTTCTGGTAGAAGCTATTACTTTAGTAATAAAGATTATTTTTAATTGTTATTCATTATTTTTTATTATTTTTTTTCCATTTATCATTATTTATTGTATTTTTTTTTACATTATATTTCATCATCATCATCATCATCATCATCCAGATACATGCCCCAAACTACAGACATTAGGCTTACATTCTGATGGGTGCATGGCTTATAAGCTGGGCACAAACACTCTCGTGCATTGAAAAGCTTCCATGCCTCCCCCTGCAATGTTTTCTCTTTTTCTGCTTAAGCATCTTTAGTGTTTTGGCCATTTTCAATGTCTACATTTATCATTTAATTTATTCTATCCAGATGGTAATAAACTCTTTTCCTTGCATAGATTCCACATATTCTCTCTAGGTAGTCCATAACTCAGTGCAGGAATAAGAATTCTTTCTCTCTCTCTCTCTCGCTCTCTCAATGTTCAATTTTCATTAATGCAATCTGTGCTGCCAGTCATGGCAGGTAGGAATAGGATCATGAGCATGATTTTGCACCCTTCCAGTCACAGCTCATGGACATTACATTCCTCTCTTATTTATCAAAGGAAATAATGCAGAAGCCCCTTCCAATGCCAAATGAGTCTAATCACCCTTCAACTTTATGCACTCATGGCTAGTGATTCCATTCACGCAGGCCTTCAGCTGAAATTCTTACGATAACAAGTTTGCATCACCACTGGTCCATAGCCACATTTTATCATGACAGTATGTTCAAGTCACCCACATCTCAAGACAATATTTTACATGATTGATGTCTTGGTAAAGACATCCAGATTGTGGGAATTGAATAGTAACAATAGTTGTAGTAATGCAGCAGCAGAACAGCAGCAGCAGCATTGATATGATTATTATTAATGCTGGTATTATTATTAATATTAATGATATTGTTATTTCCATTATCATTATTATTTGCTACTATTATTAGTTATTATTTATTATCATTATCATTTTATTATTATTGTTTACTATTAATAGTAATTATTATAATAGTATTATTGTTTTATTATGATTATTATCAGTTATATATTATTATTGTAATTTTTCATTATCATATTTCAATTATTATTGGTATTATTACTATTTATTGTATTATAGATTTATAATTATTATTGATTATTCATATTATCTTACTTATCACCATCTTTGGTTTTTTTTTATTATTTTTATTAATTACTGTTATTATTTAATATTTCTATTATTATTTTATCATTTTTATAAATATTACTAATATTGTTACTGTTATCATCTTTATCATTATTATTAGTGCTGTTGATGCTATTATTATTATTACTGTTATTTTATGACTATTATTATTTTTATTGTTAATATTAATAAATACTAGATACTATAAACAATATTTTTTATTATTATTGTTAGTGGTATTGTTATTATTGCCATTATTATTATTATACCTTAGCAAGTATTTGTGTCACAGAAAAGTTTGGCAGCCTTGTTCTAATGCATTTTATTGTGTTTGTGACAAGTGACCAAGAAACAAACCTCAGCGTGGGTGCATTCTCTTTTTGGAACACACTACTGTTTCATCATTAATTTTCTAATTAAAAGTTCACAGAGAACTTTGTCCTCGGCATAGTTGTCTTACTGTTATTATTATTAACTTTATAATATAATAGTAACAATAATAGCCTCTTCCCCCCCCCCCCAAAAAAAAAATAATAATAATAATAAATAATAATAATAATAATAATAATAATAATAATGGAAATGGTATTTTATTTAATTTATAATTGATTTTTTTTTGCTGAGTCCACATCTAAGGTCATTAATGGCATATACAAATCATAGCGTTAGGGTAGGGCTTGGTGGCAAAGTCCCAGGTAAAGTTTTTTGGTTCAGAGCACCAGGTAAAGTTTTTTTGGTTCAATAAGGCAATGGTTTGTGGATTTCCAGAATGGTCATTGGTAAAAAACAAACAAATTTACAGTGCATCAAAGGTTACACATGGTAAAGTAAAGTATTGTGCTAAAAAGGGTAAATATGAATTAACAATTTGGATAAGTGGACAGAAGGGGATGAAGAGAAGGAAAAGGAAAGAGGAAGGAGAAAGGATCCTGTTAAATTAGTTGAGGCAAGGGCTGAGGTCCAAGGCAGGGGTAATCCCTACTTTGGGCCTCAGTCTCTGCCTGCTAAGCCCTCCCCCCCCCCCCCCACAGCCCCAAGAAGCAAGTGATTGGGAGGGGGGGGATGGTAGACGGGTGAGGTCAGGAAGGCTTAGTAATATTCTCCATGGTGACTAAACATGGAGCTATTTATGTTAAGTGAACTTGCCCTCCAGATAACAACAAATAAACAATTGTCAGTATTTTTTTCATCTCTTCTATTTTATTTATCACATGCCATTCTAATTTTCACTTGATTCTTCTTCTACCAATGAATTAGAGGATTTTGTCATTGTATGTCAGTTTATTAATGTAAGCTTTACCAATTTCAAAATTTTACTATTATTTAAATCAGGATTTTCTCTCTTCACAGTCCAGACACAAGACTACCTCCTGGGGTTCACTATACAAGTGCAGCTCAGCTTTACCGGAGCTTCTTAGAGGAGTCTGAGGCACCACCAAGCTTACGTTTCATAACCAGTGTGCGAGACTCTTTGAAGGTCAGCACACCATTTCCTTCCATCTTCTCTGAAAAGCTGTCAGAGGACGGTTTGCTTGCCCCCCCCCCCAAAAAAAAATAATAATAATAATAATAATAATAATAATAATAATAATAATAATAATAATAATAATAATAATAATAATAATAATAATAATAATAATAATAATAATAATAATAATAATAATATAATAATAATAATAATAATAATAATAATAATAATAATAATAATAATAATAATAATAATAATAATAATAATAATAATAATAATAATAATAATAATATAATAATAATATAATAATAATATAATAATAATAATAATAATAATAATAATAATAATAATAATAATAATAATAATAATAATAATAATAATAATAATAATAATAATAATAATAATAATAATAATAATAATAATAATAATAATAATAATAATAATAATAATAATAATAATAATAATAATAATAATAATAATAATAATAATAATAATAATAATAATAATAATAATAATAATAATAATAATAATAATAATAATAATAATATAATAATAATAATAATAATAATAATAATAATAATAATAATAATAATAATAATAATAATAATAATAATAATAATAATAATAATAATAATAATAATAATAATAATAATAATAATAATAATAATAATAATAATAATAATAATAATAATAATAATAATAATAATAATAATAATAATAATAATAATAATAATAATAATAATAATAATAATAATAATAATAATAATAATAATAATAATAATAATAATAATATAATAATAATAATAATAATAATAATAATAATAATAATAATATAATAATAATAATAATAATAATAATAATAATAATAATAATAATAATAATAATAATAATAATAATAATAATAATAATAATAATAATAATAATAATAATAATAATAATAATAATAATAATAATAATAATAATAATAATAATAATAATAATAATAATAATAATAATAATAATAATATAATAATAATAATAATAATAATAATAATAATAATAATAATAATAATAATAATAATAATAATAATAATAATAATAATAATAATAATAATAATAATAATAATAATAATAATAATAATAATAATAATAATAATAATAATAATAATAATAATATAATAATAATAATAATAATAATAATAATAATAATAATAATAATAATAATAATAATAATAATAATAATAATATAATAATAATAATAATAATAATAATAATAATAATAATAATAATAATAATAATAATAATAATAATAATAATAATAATAATAATAATAATAATAATAATAATAATAATAATAATAATAATAATAATAATAATAATAATAATAATAATAATAATAATAATAATAATAATAATAATAATAATATAATAATAATAATAATAATAATAATAATAATAATAATAATAATAATATAATAATAATAATAATAATAATAATAATAATAATAATAATAATAATAATAATAATAATAATAATAATAATAATAATAATAATAATAATAATAATAATAATAATAATAATAATAATAATAATAATAATAATAATAATATAATAATAATAATAATAATAATAATAATAATAATAATAATAATAATAATAATAATAATAATAATAATAATAATAATAATAATAATAATAATAATAATAATAATAATAATAATAATAATAATAATAATAATAATAATAATAATAATAATAATAATAATAATAATAATAATAATAATAATAATAATAATAATAATAATAATAATAATAATAATAATAATAATAATAATAATAATAATAATAATAATAATAATAATAATAATAATAATAATAATAATAATAATAATAATAATAATAATAATAATATAATAATAATAATAATAATAATAATATAATAATAATAATAATAATAATAATAATAATAATAATAATAATAATAATAATAATAATAATAATAATAATAATAATAATAATAATAATAATAATAATAATAATAATAATAATATAATAATAATAATAATAATAATAATAATAATAATATAATAATAATAATAATAACTATTATTTAAATCAGGATTTTCTCTCTTCACAGTCCAGACACAAGACTACCTCCTGGGGTTCACTATACAAGTGCAGCTCAGCTTTACCGGAGCTTCCTAGAGGAGTCTGAGGCACCACCAAGCTTACGTTTCATAACCAGTGTGCGAGACTCTTTGAAGGTCAGCACACCATTTCCTTCCATCTTCTCTGAAAAGCTGTCAGAGGACGGTTTGCTTGTACCATCGAACAGTTCTTTCAGTGCCACATCAGGTGAGAATTACTAATGTTTTGTTTTTTTAACATCACTTTTTTGTTTGTTATATTGCCCAATATTTCCTGCAATGAACAGAATGCTGTTGTCAAACTGTTGAAAACCGTATGTATTTGTAACTCGTAGATAAACCTTATGAATCAAAATTCTCTCAATATATATAATTTAAAAATCCTCTTTCAACAGTTAAAAGCTCTCCGTGTGTTGCTGGACTTCATCAGGGAGGAAGCATAGGCACCCTCTTGGAACAGCTGTTAGGGAGTGCCCAGAATCTTGACGTGACGAAAGTGCCGCAGTTGATAGACGAAGGCTTGGATAAAGAAGGATGGTCAAGTGTCCTGGAAGAGTTAAAGAAGCAGAAACTCAACTATTGTAATAATGAAGAAATGGAGAGTTCTGATGATGATTGACCTGGTTCAAAAGTTTTGTTTAGGTAATTGCTCAGATAACCATTAAAGAAAATTAATTGTCTCACAGGCTTAACTAATATACAGCAAACTATGATACTCATAAAACTAATTTCAGATAAATGGCCCTGAAATTATTTTAATGTGCCTTTATTATATATCAAGTGAACATAGCATTATTATAATTTTTTTTTTTAATATTTAATATTTAATTTAATCTTACATTTGAGCACACTAATAAACTTAAAGGCAGGTCTTTCATAATTATGATGTATGATCTCATCTCTCCATGATATAACAAGATTGTAAATATTTTTTATCCAAAATACAAAAAATGTAAAAATACTAAACAAAAATAAACTCTGTCTAACAGTGAAACATGTGATACAGCTTTTTGTTCCATCGTTAAAAAAAAATTATATCTTTTTGCCTGTTATGACCTTTTTCATAATCTCTTTATATTGGTGCTATTTGTTTTAATATATAACTTTGCCCATTTTGAATAAAAATTCATGCTATGTTTGGGTAATTAAAAACTAAAAAAGAATTAACACAATGACTCTGGAATTATGTCCTGTCCCGTGTTTTTCCCGATGTGCTCATCCACCAAGGAGTCTATCAGCAGGTGTGATTTCCCCATTCCTTGAATTTACAGAAAAATGTGTTTTTCATTCTAATACTGTTAACCCAATGCTGACGGGCATGACGTGTACATACGTGCTATGCACATTATGAGTACTTGTTTGATTATTTTTACTCATAGATGAGTACACTTGTACTAAGTCACCAAAGAGACAGTTACAAGTACTGCCTGTCTTGCCCGTTTTCCCTTTTCTTTGATTTACAAAAATATTTTATGTTATCTTATTTTGCTGTTACTAATGTTTATAAGATTATAGTAATTATAATATATATCAATGCGATATTGTATTATTCCATCTTTCAGTAATTATAATGTTTATAATAAACATCATCGATATTCATAGCATTAATAAAAAATACATTTTTCCTGTCAATTCAAATCACGTATGGTCACAAGTTCTACTAATTGACTCCTTTATGGCTAAGCACTAGCAGAGCCATCTATGTGCAGAGACATTTCACAAAAATATAGAAAATGAGCACAGCATTTTTTTATTCATTTTCCCCGGCAGCATTGTTGTTATTCTTGATATTATGATTATTAAAATATTAGAATATTAATATCATAAAAGACAATAAAATAATACAAATAAAGCTTTCAAAAAATCAAGGGAAAAGGCAAAGAGATGAGATCGGCAAGACTAATAACTGAAAAGGAAAACGACCACAGTAAGAAATGACTCTGTTGACTAAGCACATGTAAGCCATCTATGTGTAAAGACAATAGATGAACTTTTATTACAGTTGGCATTGTATTCTTGCCATCCGAAAGACAGATTTTGATAAAATAATGTGCATGAAATTAATTATCTTCTGCACTGGTGTGTATACTAGATTAAACCTCTAAAAATCCTTGTTAACCCAATGCCGAAAGGCGTGGCATGTATGCACATACCATGCCCACTGTGAGTTTACTTGTTTAATTGTTTATTACTTATAGATGGCTACACTTGTACTAAGTCACTAACTAGCCAATTACAAGTACCACCTGTCTTGCCCGTTCACTCTTTTCCTTGATTTACAATTTATTTTTTACGTTATCTTATTTTGCTGTTACTACTGTTTATAATAATTAAAATGTTTGTAATAAAAAGAACACTATCGATATTCATAGCACTAGTACAAAATATGTTTTTCATGCCTAGTCAAGAAAAGGTGAAATCAGGTAAGGTCACAAGTAGGGCCGAATTATGACCTTTTGGGGCCCCTAGGCTAATGAAATTATGGGGCCCCCTCAGAATATTTTTCACTTGTGATATATTTTAGCGACATTTACATAGCTTGAAGTAAACTTATTGCAAATTCTTTAAATAAACTAGCCCTGGTTACAAGGTCTACTAATTGATTCCTTTGTGGCTAAGCACCAGCAGATCCATCTATTTCACAAAAATATAAAAATGAGTACGGTATTTTCCCCATTTTTTATTCATTTTCCCTGGCGGAATGATAAGTACTGCCTAATTCTTCAATTCATCACTATTTAGTGAATTATTAATAATTTATATAGTTTGATTAATAAGCACTGAAACCAGTACTGTCCAAGTAGGACTTAATACACCACAGCTTGAAAACCTGAAATAAAGAAAACAGAAAGTTGGGCCCAGAAGGGGTTGGAGCCGTGCAATGTTCCCACTATTATTTTAAAGGATGGGAATGTATGTAAATCTTTTTAATAAGTAGTACATTTGCAATTTGCCTAAATTTTGTAAAATTATCATTTATTGCAATTTATAAACATGATGCAAAGGTGAACTGTACTGAATGCTGATATTGGTGCTTTAGCTGACCAATAACCTCAGCTGTTAGCACAGCAGTTGACCAATGAGCTTACCTGTTACCACAGCAGTTGACCAATGACCTTACCTGTTACCACAGCAGTTGACCAATGACCTTACCTGTTACCACAGTAGCTGACCAATGACCTCAGCTATTAGCACAGCAGTTGACCAATAACCTTACCTGTTACCACAGTAGCTGACCAATGATCTTTCCTGTTACCACAGTAGCTGTCCAATGACCTCAGCTGTTAGCACAGCAGTTGACCAATGACCTTACCTGTTACCACAGTAGCTGACCAATGATCCTTCCTGTTACCACAGTAGCTGTCCAATGACCTCAGCTGTTAGCACAGCAGATGACCAATGACCTTACCTGTTAGTACAATAGCTGACCAATGACCTGACCTTAGCACAGCATATGACCAATGACCCTACCTGTTAGCCAGCAGTAGCGACCATGACCTCAGGCTGTTAGCACAGGGGGGGGGGGGGGGCAGTTGACCAATGACCTTACCTGTTTTACCACAGCAGATGGACCAATGACCTCAGCTCTTAGCAACAGCTGGTGACCAATGCCCTTACCTGTTTACCACAAGCAGTTGACCAATGACCTTAACCTAATACCACAGCAGTTGACCAATGACCTTACCTGGTTACCAACAGCAGGTGACCAATGACCTTACCTTTACCACAGCAGTTGACCATGGACCCATACCTGTTTACCACAGCAGATGACCAATGACCTCAGCTCTTAGCACAGCAGTTGACCAATGACCTTACTGTTACCACAGCAGATGACCAATGACCTACCTGTTACCACAGCAGATGACCAATGACCTTACTGTTACCACAGCAGTTGACCAATGACCTACCTGTTACCACAGCAGATGACCAATGACCTTACTGTTACCACAGCAGTTGACCAATGACCTTTCCTGTTACCACAGTAGCTGACCAATGACCTTACCTGTTACACAGCAGATGACCAATGACCTTACTGTTACCACAGCAGTTGACCATGACCTTACCTGTTACACAGCAGATGACCAATGACCTCAGCTCTTAGCACAGCAGTTGACCAATGACCTTACTGTTACCACAGCAGTGACCAATGACCTTACCTGTTACACAGCAGATGACCAATGACCTCAGCTGTTAGCACAGCAGTTGACCAATGACCTTTCCTGTTACCACAGTAGCTGACCAATGACCTTACTGTTACCACAGCAGATGACCAATGACCTACCTGTTACCACAGCAGATGACCAATGACCTACCTGTTACCACAGTAGCTGACCAATGACCTTACCTGTTACCACAGTAGCTGACCAATGACCTTACCTGTTACCACAGTAGCTGACCAATGACCTCAGCTCTTAGCACAGCAGTTGACCATGACCTTACCTGTTACCACAGCAGTGACCAATGACCTTACTGTTACCACAGCAGATGACCAATGACCTTACTGTTACCACAGCAGTTGACCAATGACCTTACTGTTACCACAGCAGTGACCAATGACCTTACCTGTTACCACAGTAGCTGACCAATGACCTTACTGTTACCACAGCAGTTGACCAATGACCTTACCTGTTACACAGCAGATGACCAATGACCTCAGCTCTTAGCACAGCAGTTGACCATGACCTTACCTGTTACCACAGTAGCTGACCAATGACCTTACTGTTACCACAGCAGTGACCAATGACCTTACTGTTACCACAGCAGTGACCAATGACCTTACTGTTACCACAGCAGTGACCAATGACCTTACTGTTACCACAGCAGTTGACCAATGACCTTACTGTTACCACAGCAGATTACCAATGACCTCAGCTCTTAGCACAGCAGTTGACCAATGACCTTACCTGTTACACAGCAGATGACCAATGACCTACCTTTCACTGTTACCACAGTAAGCTGACCAATGACCTTAAATGTTTACTACAATAGCTGAGCAATGACCTGAACTTAGCACACGCATATGAACCAATGCCCCCTACCTGTTACCACAGCATATGACCAATATCTTACCTGTTAAACAGCAGTTGCCCAATGACCTTACCCTGTTACTACAGCAGATACCATTGACCTCAGCTCTTAGCACAGCAGTTGATCAACGACCTTACCTTATCACAGCGTTGACCAATGACCTTACCTGTTTACCACAGCAGATTCCATGACCTCAGCTCGTTAGCACAGCAGTTGACCAATGACCTTACCTGTTACCACAGCAGTTGACCAATGACCTTACCTGTTACCACAGCAGATGACCAATGACCTTACCTGTTACCACAGTAGCTGACCAATGACCTCAGCTGTTAGCACAGCAGTTGACCAATGACCTTACCTGTTACCACAGCAGATGACCAATGACCTCAGCTCTTAGCACAGCTGTTGACCAATGACCTTACCTGTTACCACAGCAGTTGACCAATGACCTTACCTATTACCACAGCAGTTGACCAATGACCTTACCTGTTACCACAGCAGTTGACCAATGACCTTACCTGTTACCACAGCAGTTGACCAATGACCTTACCTGTTACCACAGCAGATGACCAATGACCTCAGCTCTTAGCACAACAGTTGACCAATGACCTTACCTGTTACCACAGCAGATGACCAATGTCCTTATCTGTTACCACAGCAGTTGACCAATTACCTCAGCTGTTAGCACAGCAGTAACTATTTTACAATATCAATTTCTATTAATATTCATATCTGCCTTGTTTACGTCACGAAACTACCATTATTGATGAATGTCACACTAATAATTCCAATAATTAATCAGGCTTCATTAGGAATTATGTAAGTTCTATAAGTCACATACGTTCATCAGTAGTACTATATCTTAATAATTAAAGTACACATTTCATTAATTCATTATTGTTATTTACTTTATTTATTGAGGAACTGAATAACGGTGTTTCCAATTCATATCAACTTTATCCCACA